TTAAGTTGGGTGATTGTAATTTTGGACCTAAGAATCTTTGAAATTTCCACTTTGTAGTGTATTTTGAAAGAAAAGAGATGGTAGTATTACTAGCTACAAGCAATTGAGTGTGAAAACAGGACCTTTGGAAGGATTTTATTTTATTTTATTTTTTTGGGCGCCTGATGAACTTAAATTAACCTTAATGTAAATATGAGCTTTATATCATATCTTGTTATTAGGGTGGGCGTGGGTTGGGTTTTGTCCCAACCCAACACGATTGGTTTGATTAGCATTCAACCCATCCCAACCCATGTAAAGATTGAAACCCAACCCCACCGAATGTTGGTCGGGTCGGGTCGGGTTGGGTTGGTGGGTTCGGGACAACCTATCAACAAATATTAAAGTTGCCAAAATACTAAATTAAAGCATCATTAATATAGTCTTTCAATATTAATGAATTTCAAATATAAAATACTATAGTTTATAGGGCTGTCAATGAATTGGATTTTGATCTGAATCTGATAATCTGCTAACTAAATGAATCAAATATGGATATAGGTCAACCCAATCTACCAACAATCTAATCTGATTTATTATAATAATATATTATATTTTTTATATTATCGCATAATTTATAACACTGTTTTTTCCATTTTGAAATTTGTATCACACTTTATATCTAATTTTTAAATAATATATAGTATTATATAATAGTATAATATTTTTAATTGAAAATTTTGAAGAGATTTAATTTTTTATTAATTAAAATAAAATAAAACTAATAATTAATTTATTGATTAGATTTACTATAGTAATTTGTTTTATAACATAAAAAACTAACAATTAATATGTCCCAAATAATTTACTTTGTTCAAATTGATATATTTGTAATTAAAATCTCAGGCTATGATTTTTAATGAAAATAATAAAGTAATTAGTAAATATTTAGAATTGACAAATGATTATGATTAGTATTCCACATTGAAAGATCACTAAATCATTAGAAAATGAAAATCCTTTAAAAAGCTAGTATCCTATATCGGAATATCACTAAAATATTTCAAGAGGAGCATCTTTTAAATAGGAGTTAATATGAGCATCACTTGGATAAAAAATTTGATTTGGGCCTTCTAATATAAAAAATGAGCCCATCAAGATAGTTCAAATATTTTTAAAAATAAATAATTAATTAAAATCTTGTTTTATTTTTCTAATTTTTTCAATTTCAAATCGGATTATCGGATCGGATATCCGATAACATAGCTAATCGGATTTGAATTTAACATTCAAATATTCGTTGGATTATTGGATCGATCGGAGCGGATAATTATTCTTAACGGATTTGATCGGATTTGAGCAGGTTCGATCCGTTGGCAGTCCTAATAGTTCATCAAATATCCATCAAAATAATTATCCAATAACAATTACATATCTAATATAGCTAATCGGATTTGGATTTAACATTCAAGTATCCATCGGATTATTGGATCGGATCGGAGCGAATAATTATTGTTAACTGATCGGATCAGATTTGAGCAGGTCCGATCCGTTGGCAGTCCTAATAGTTCATCAAATATCCATCAAAATAATTATCCAATAACAATTACATATCTAACATAGCTAATCGGATTTGGATTTAACATTCAAGTATCTGTCGGATTATTGGATCGGATCGGAGCGGATAATTATTCTTTATGGATCGGATCGGATTTGAGCAGGTCCGATCCGTTGGCAGTCCTAATAGTTCATCAAATATCCATCAAAATAATTATCCAATAACAATTACATATCTAACTACAAAGTTACAATACTAAGGCAAAAAACGATTGGCACTTGGCACAAACAAAAATCTGTTGGCAGAAACTGTTGGAGGTTGCAAAAGATGAAGAACTAAATGAGATTCGAAATATAACCCATCAAGAGAAGGAAAACTACATTGTAAACAGCCATATATGCTTCAGCAATCTGGTTTTATCCAATTGCTTAGTGATATCCCTTAGGTCATTCAAAGAATCCACACTTTGGCAGAGAAGTTGGCAAGCATGAAACTGAAATCAAAATGCTCACCTCAGTAATTTGATTCCTATAACCCATATTCTCTGTACCAACTAACCATTAAATAGCACACCGAACCCTATTAAGACAGTAATTTGATTCCTATAACCCATAACTCCATTAATTCCTCACTGATTTTTTATAAAAAACCAAAATAATTGAAATGCAAGTCAATTCATTTATGGAACCAACAACAGAAATTATATTCAGTAAGCACTAAAAGTAACAAATCAAACAAAAAAATGAAGAAAAAGGTAAATATTCTTGATGGATCAAGATTTCAAGAAACTGATTCAAAAGAACTTAAATATTCATATTATTAATTTGAACATCACATCAAGAATTCACTAATAATATAATAATCCTTGAGCCCATTGCATCAAATGAAAGAAAAATCATTGCAAATTATTCTAAAGTTCCAGAAATACAAGAAGAATTATTCCAAAAGGAAAAGAAGATAAAAGAAAGTAGAAAATTGAAAGAGAAAATAAGCTAGAATGATGTCCAAATTGCTAACTCTCTCCCTCTATAGTTCTCTTCTTCGTCTCTTCAAGCTTGGACCACTCTAGCCACCACCTGTGCTATGTACTTTACAGCTTGGATAAATCCCAAAGAGAAAGATGACTTACCATGTAATAAAATGAAGATCGGCCGTCGGCAAGCAAAAATGAACATCGACCTTTGGCGTTGAAGATTGACGGCAACTGAGGAGGACTAGGGCGGGAGAGCAAGGAATGAAAGAAAAAAAATTAGGGCTGCAGCTTCTTAACTCTTCTGTCTTCATGCTTCAGTTTTTAAATTGAGTATTTTTTTTATTTTTTACTAATCGGGTCGAGGTGGGTTCGATCGGGTTTTCTGGGTTAACCCATCACCTGACCCGACTACTTTACTCACAAACCGAACCAGCTTAAAAAATAATAATAATAAATTAAAAAAAAGACCCAACCGGGTCGGGTTTGGCGGGTTCGGTCGGGTTTTTCCCACCCCTACTTGTTATATCTATAACTCATGAACATCCTGTTGTTTGTATGGCTTGTATGATTCATATATACTCTTTCATTTCATCATGCTAACCTTACTGAAAGCTTTTGTCAATTTCAAGTGCTAATCTGAAGTTTCTGATAGGCATGTGCTAAAAGGATCCAAGGTGATGAAAGTGGGCACAAGCACTGTACTGGACAATACTTTGATTATTGGCAGTGCGTTGACAAATGTGTAAGGCCATTTTCTTGTTTACATTTATTCCCTCGCCCCTCTTTCGGGTATATTTCAGTTTTATGTTAATATTTTGTTCTGGTAGCTGCTGACATCTATCCTTTTAATACGCAGGTTGCAACTAAGCTATTTACATATCTTAAATGACCGGGCAAGACCTCAATGTTGTTCTGGCACCAGAATACGTTTAGTCCAAAACCAATTGGTTCAGTATTATTCTGTTTTTGTGAAAACTATTTATGCTTGTATGCCTACTTAGATAAATGGCATGTTGAACTATGAATTATGAGCACTTCATTGTGATCAATAAAAAAAAAATTGTGGGATTGAATTTCATTTGCTTTGGCAATTAATGATGTAGCTTTTGTTCAACAATTTCCTATTTAGTGATTTGGAAAATTTTCGTTGTTAGCCTTATCTGCATACTATTGCGAGAATTTCCATTGTTGCTCATTTATACGCTTTTATCATAGTAGTTGAGTCTTTAAATCATATTTTTAGATACTTGAATGCCTCTAGTGGTTCAACTTAGGAATAAATTAGACAATGCATACTTTGGGTGTCATTTGAGAGAAATACCCCAAATGGTTACTGAATTTTGCCCAAAGTCCTCAAGAAGGTCACCGAACTTTAAACCGTTCCTAAGTAGTCACTGAACTTAGCTCGAAGTCCTCTAAGAGGTCACCGAACTTCAAAACGCCCCTAAATAGTCATTGGACTTTGCAAAAAGTACCTAGGGGGTCACTGAAACTTGCAAATTATTGAACTTTGCAAAGATGAATGTGGTCTCAATTTGCAAATTTCAGTGATTCCCTAGGAACTTTTTACAAAGTTCAGTGATTATTTAGGAACGTTTTGAAATTCAATGATCTCTTGGTGGACTTCGGGCGAAGTTCAGTGACTATTTAGGGATGTTTTAAAGTTCAGTGACCTCCTGGAGGACTTCGGGCAAAGTTCAGTGACCATTTGGGGGTTTAACCCATCATTTGATTTGCAGAGGATTGATGATCTTGTTGAAGGGGTATAATTTTTTTGCACGTGGATCCATAATGTTTTTTTCCCTACTTTTTAACTATTATTCAGTGTTCTAAAAGGCTTGCATTGGCTCTGCCTAGGCGGCGCCAATGTGCGAGGCTCGGGGAAAACGCCAAATAACTGTGCCTTGGCGCTTTATTTAGCGGTCAACGATGTTCGTTGACAGCTGATGTGCCCTTAGGTACGGTTATGTGCATCTAGGTGCGCATTATTAATTTTTTTTTTTTTTTTTACAATTCTTTAATTTTAAAACTTAATTGATGATTTTTTCATTTTATCTCTCTTAGATTCAAAACAGCCACTTGAAGCCTTAAACAAAGAAGAATTCCCCAAATATACTTATTTATATATTATTTACATTTGATAAATCTGTTTTTAAATGTTTGGTAGGTGTTATTTATAATTATTAAATAATTTTTTATTGATTAAAAAATTAAAATAATATTAAGATAAGAAAATGGTTTTTTACGCCCATGCCTCTCATAAGTAGAGGTGGGCAAAACTAAACCGAATCTGCTCAAACCGACCTAACCCAATCGAGTTGGGTCGGTTTCTTTGTTGTTTTTAAGTGGGTTCGATTTTTTTATTGTGTAGGTGGGTCGGGTTGTGGGTTAACTCATAAAAATCGACCCAACCAACCTATTTTTAAAAAAAATAAAATAAAAAAGGGAAAGAGAAATAAATTGCCTAAACGTAAAATCGCTATTTTTAAAGTTTAGAGTTTCATAAAATTATAACAAGAATCCCATTATAATTTCTAATAGACAAATTTTTATATCGAATTTCTCAAATCACAATGTATAACGCAAGACTTCGATTGCGTTTTCCCGTAATCTCTATCTCTTAGGATAATTAAGTTTTATACTTGTTTACAAAAATATCTTGTAGAATGGTTATATGAACTATGGACATAAATGTTGAAGAAAAAATAAATGTTGAGTTTCTATATAGATGCTTGATCTAACTTCTGAATAAATCAATTTCTCACATTTCAAATAAGCTTGTGAAGCATAATTTGCTTGTTATTGTCGAAAACTATTAAAGATTTGAGATAAATAATAATTAAGAAGTTAAATTCGAAAAAAAATAAAATTTGGCTACCAGCAGAACCAGCTGTCTTATTTTTTGGTTTGACATCAATTTAATAAGTATCATTGTCTGTTGTGCAAACTTGTTTTGTTAATCTAGGTCTAATGATGAGCCTGTAGATTCGAAGCAGGAACTTGAAAAGCGATGCAAGCAGGGGTGGATCCAGGATTGGATTCAAGACGGGGCTACAAAATTTAAAGCCGGGCTACTATACAAAAAAAAAAAAAATTATACATAAAAAACTGATTTTTTACCAAAAAAATAAATAAATAATACCTTAAAAAAAGCTATTGGGCCTGGAAGGGGGGTGGGGGCTACAGCACAACCCAGGCCCCCCTAAATCCGCCTCTAGATGCAAGACACCATGCATGCGACCACTCAAAGAATATCAGGTGATTTTGACTGAATGAAAATAAATCTTCTCTTTTTGTTTTTTCTAATTTAATGTCTACTTCTCCATTTTCCAAGTTTCTAGCCTTTTGTGCTCTTTTTACCTGATACTTAGTATTGCTAAAGCCTAAATGAAATGTTCTATGCATTTTAAATTTTTTAGTTTTTTGTTCACTCTTCTTTTGTTTGATTATATGGTAATAAATTATAATTTGTCCAACCCGAATAACCCAACCCAACCCAATTGGGTTGGATTGGGTTGGGTTTCAACATTTACTTGGTTTGATTTTAGATCAAACCGATTGTGTTGGGTTGGGACAAAAACCGACCCAACCCAACCCAACTCACGCCCAGCACTACTCATAAGCTCGCCTAGCTCTTAGTTTAGCTTCGACGCATCGTCACGTATTACGTCTTTTAGAACACTGCTATTAATTATTCAAAAAATGATTTTTTACTTCAAATAATCTCTTTAAAACACTCCAGTGTTTGTTTGATAAAATTTCAAACTTAATTAACTGTTCAAATTCATATTTCATTACCTTTGATCAAAATTTGTAATTTTTTTTTTAATTAAAAGCTTTGTCAAAAGAGCCCTAAAAAAGAACTTTTTAATTTTTATAAAATGGTCAAATCATTTAGAGTGCAGAAACTCTAACAACCCAATTTTTCTAATACTTCAATTGTAAGTATTATGCCCTAAGTCCAATCAACTTTAGATATAAATACTTTTATATATAATTAATGCAATTAAATGGCAGATTTATTATTTAATTAATAGACAATTAAATAAATAATAGAGTCCGTGGATTCAAATATTTGTAATTTGTTAATCACAAGGAGTTGTGATTGTGAGATACAAATTACATCTGATTGAATCTTAAATCATCCGCGGTCGTAAGTAATAACGAGATACGGATATCGTTATTACGGATAGACCATCACGTGTGGCATTTCTTACTTGTGAAGTAAGTAGCTGATCTCACAAGTTAAAGTGTGGTGACACTTAAATGAACACGTGGATGTTTTTGTTATAGAACAAAATATTGGAGACCCGTCGAGAGATTCCACATGGATAACTATCTGAATGTCAGTGGTTAATCTCTAACGTTTTGTAGTGGAATTGGTCCTTTGACTTGAGGTCGTCATAGTATCTTATATGAGGACAGTCATACTTTGGCGGTGTTGGATGTTGCTCTGAAAAGGGCCGCTAATACGTATGAAGGTTGTGATTGATCAATAAAGGATTCGTCACTCTTAGATAGTAGGAGATTATGATCTGCGTTTCATTCAATTAAGTCGATGATGAAATCCTTGGCCAAGGTGTACTCATAAGTCGAAAAGAAGTTTTCGACTTATATTGACTTAATAGTGGAGTGAAAGATATGATCGATGATCGAGATTGACACAACTCCATATCTTGTAATTGATCGGATCATATTGACGAAGGGATTATAGTTTCACGGTAAACGAACGAATTTGATTTTGTCATACCACGTGACATTTCCCGTCACATGTATTGCCCTGACACATTGCTAGATGTCAATCAGGGACGGCGAATGTGAATTGACGATAAATTAAAAGGGTGTTTTAATTTATCAATTTTGATTAGATCAAAATAATATTTCACGTCGTTAGGCATCGTGGTCGGGAACCTAATGGGTCACACACAAAAGAGAATTGGAAGATTGCAAATTGTCAATTGGTTAATTTAACAATCGTTGGATAAATTAATTAATTGGATTTGTTATTTATATTTTTGAATTAATTAATTGGATTAATTAATTCACGGATCGGGTTTAATTAATTGGATTAATTAATTATTGGACCGGACCAGGCCGAGTCTGTTTGGGTTTATATAAATATATAACTAGGGTTTGAGGTCCATAAGGTTTTCATTATTCTTGCTGGTACAAGAGAAAACCCTAGAGGTTGCAATCATATTCTCTGTGTGGATCACCGTTGGAGGCTGGACAATTGGACAGCTGTGGTGGCAAATCAAGGTTGATAGAACAAAAAAAAAAAAAAGCAAAAAGATTGCAGATCTGAAAAGGTACAATCTTATCACAATTTCTATCTAAACACAAAGGTGATTCTTGGTGGGAATCGAAAATTATTTTAAATTCCGCTGTGCATGTATAAGTAGATTCCCAACATCAATGAATGCCTTTTAACCCCAAAATGATTTAGAAAGATTTTTCTGGTCTTTCTTATTTAAAGGCTTTGAATTTTGACATCTTGTAGAAAGAACATTAGACAAGCATGAAAATGATCGGGATTTCATTCTCGTTGTCAAAATTATCTGTGCATTTTGAAGAAGTTGAAGAATGTCGAAGTGGCAGTATCATTTTAATTGCAAATGTAATCTTTGTTGCATTTCGGGCTATCGTCTAACAAGTACATGAAAATGATGAAGTTCACCCGTTCTATAGGATGAATCATAATTAAACTAATAACATGTTTGAGGGATGAGGGAGAGAGACCATCAATCCAACTATTGTTCTTTCTTGCATATGTCATCTAGCTCACCCAATCATACCCTATCAAACCGATGGAATCTAAAATGGAATCTAAAATGATCATATTCAATGCTATATGAAAATTTTTATATACGTGTACCTTGGAATGGAGAAAACGCCTTAAATAAAAGATTGGCCATGGGAGAAGTTTGGTCTATTTCAATTCAATCCCCTTGTCTAATTTGAACCTCTTTTATATGACCAAATCTTTAGTGGGGCGGGTAGATGGTGCACCTACCAAATGCCGAGGCCCCACCTCGGTGGGTGGCCCACACACCTCAGGAGTGTGTGGTGGGCCACCACCAAGATGGCGTACATTCATAGAACGGTCGTACCTTACCGAAGTTTCTCCTTTTATATATGCCAAAAAAGGATTTT